CAACGCACATACTCGGAGCATATCCTCCAATGTTTGAATTGTACGTTCAGATTGCCCATCAGTTTGTGGATGAAAGGTTGTACTAAAATTCAAACGTGTGCCCCAAGCTTTATGTAAACCTTCCCAAAATCAAGACGTAAAACGTGGGTCTCGATCGGAGGTAATCGATACAGGTGTGCCATGAAGATGCACAATCTCATGTTGGAAAACTTTGGTCAGCTTATCAATTGACCAAGTTTGTCGGACAGGAAGAAAATAAGCCGATTTTGTTAGTCGGTCTACCACTACCCAGATTGCATCGTGTTTCAAGATCGTATGGGGTAATCCGACTACAAAATCCATAGTTATGTGCTCCCATTTCCATACTGGAATATTCAACGATTGGAGAACACCACCCGGATGTTGATGTTCAATTTTAACTTGTTGACAAGTGAGACAATGAGCTACAAAGTCGACGATATCTCGTTTCATTCCAATCCACCAGAAATGGTTCCTCAAATCACRATACATTTTTGTTGTGCCAGGATGAACCGAAAACATAGAGTTATGAGCTTCGATCAGAATTAGATCTCTAAGCTCCGAGTTATTTGGAACACAAAGACGATATCGAATCCACAACACGTGATCATCATCCATTCTGAACTATGAACTAGAATTCTCTTGTGCCTGCTGGAAATTTGCCCATAATTCACTATCATCTTGCTGGGCTTCTTTGATCCGAGAGATTAGAGTCGATTCTACCATTAGATTCGACAGAATTTTCGTTTGCGAACTCGGATAAATTTCTAGTCCGAACCGTTCGATTTCCAAAGCCAACTCTGTAGAAACAATTAAAAAAGAAACTTGTTCCACAGCTTTACAGCTTAAAGCGTCGGCGACTACATTAGCTTTGTCCGGATGATACTGTATCCGAATATCGTAATCTTTCAGAAGTTCGAGCCATCTTCGTTGACGCATATTTAACTCTTTTTGAGTAAAGATGTATTTGAGGCTTTTATGGTCAGTGAAAACTTCACAGGTCTCACCGTACAAATAGTGACGCCAGTTCTTAAGTGCAAAGATCACTGTAGCCAATTCGAGATCATGAGTCGGATAATTGACCTCATAACGCTTTAATTGACGAGAAGCATATGTGATCACTTTTCCGTGTTGCATAAGAACACAACCGAGACCTTTCTTTGAAGCATCACTGTAAACTTGAAACCCACCAGTGCTAGACGACAATACAAGAACAGGTGCGGTACCCAATCGATGCTTCAATTTCTCAAAACTAGATTCTTGTTCGGAACCCCAATTGAATTTGACTCCTTTTCGAAGTAATCGGGTCAAAGGTAGCGATATTTTAGAGAAACCTTCAACGAATCGTCTGTAATAACCTGCCAGACCCAGAAAACCACAAACTTCAGATATGTTCGTAGGTCGTGACCAATCAGTGACGGTTTCAATTTATGCCGGATCGACTTTGACACCTTCGGCAGAGATAACGTGTCCGAGAAAAGACACTTGATCGAGCCAAAATTAACATTTGGAAAGTTTTGCGTACAAACTTTTTGTTCGAAAAGTCTCCAAAACAATTTGAAGATGTTGATCATGTTGCTTTCTTGACTTCGAGTAAATCAAGATGTCGTCAATAAACACGATAACAAATTCATCGAGATAATCTTTGTAAACTCGATTCATAAGATCCATAAAGACCGTTGGAGCATTAGTTAGCCCAAAAGGCATTACTAAGAATTCGTAGTGCCCATAGCGAGTTCTAAATGCGGTTTTCGGAATATCAGAATCTCATATACGAAGTTGATGGTACCCGAACCGAAGATCAATTTTGGAAAAGTATCGTGCCCCTTGTAATTGATCGAACATATCATCGATTCTTGGCAACAGATACTTGTTACGAATAGTTACTTTATTAAGTTCCCGATAATCGACACAAAGACGCATTGTACCGTCTTTCTTTTTAACAAAAAGAACAGGAGCTCCCCAGGGTGAAACACTGGGTCGAATGAAACCTTTCTTCAATAGATCATCGAGTTGAGTTTTAAGCTCTTTCATTTTAGTTGGAGCCATTCGGTAGGGAGCCTTGGATATAGAAGAAGCTTCCGGGACTAGATAGATGGTAAATTCAACTTCCCGTACTGGTGGTATACCCGGTAAATCGTCAGGGGACACATCAAGATATTCAGAAACAACAGGTATGGATGCAGAAGTAGGAAATACCTGTTCGGGATCTTGTAGAGCAGCAAGAAAACTTTCATTTCTTTGCCACGTATATTGTTTCACAGTAATAGAGACTACTGCACTAACATCTTCTTTTGGAGTACCTCCTTAGAAGATTGCCTCTGGGTTGTCTATATCCCCAAACAGAATTTGTTTGGCATCATAGTCTATTGTTGCTCGGTGGTGTGACAACTAGTCCATACCCAATATTAAATCGAAGTAGGACATATGCATTGGAAGTAGAGTGACCTCTCGTATGCAGTCCCCAATAAGCAACGGACAGTTGGAAAAACGAGTTAGCACACAAATTGAACCACCCATTGGAGTAGATATTACCACTGGAAATTTGGTGGTTTGCTCATACGGTTTTAATCGGGATTCTAATTGTTCAGAAACAATTGAGTGTGTCGCACCAGTATCAAACAAAACATAAACAGATAAATCAATTAATTTAGCATTACCCGAAATCATACCCGCTTGAGATTTGCTGCCAGGTAATGCAAAGACTCGTCCACTAGTACTTAGTTGTTTACCTTTCCCTTTGTCAGTTTGGATCCTAGCCTTGGGACAATCTTTTGCCATATGACCTTGTTCTCAACAATTGAAACATGAACCGGTCATCTTTAAACACGGACCCGGTCGATGTCGAAGATTGCATTGATCACAATTAATAACAGGGCCAGAAACATTTTGACTCCCACTGGTAGACAACACTGGAAGTCGGGGCGTGGATAGATTCGAGCCTTTTTTAGTATCACTGCTCGACTTTATTTTACAAAACGAGGGTTGCTTCGGGAGAAAGATTCAGATCCGCGTTTCTTATTGTCAACGCGTGAATTTAACCATTGTTGTCGTGAGTGATCAATAATCTTTGTTTCGTCGGCCACTTCAGTAACGGTATGAAAAGGATGATTCAAGAGGCGATCTTTATACCTCGAGTTCAAAGTCCATTTAATGGGAATTAAGAAGAACTGAGGTTTTTGTTTGTTAAACCTTTCAAGCCATATATATATTTCTTCCGTTGGTTACCCGAACTGGATATAGGAATTCCAGTATTTGGTGTAGGAACAAGATTTGGGTTCGAAAGAAAATTATGTGCTATTTGTCGCATAGCCTAAATGGCCTACTGAAGATATGTACGCATCATACTTAACATGGTCTGACGGACCACATCAGCAATATTTAGTTCACTTCCAACCCCCCTTGGATTGGGTTAGGATTTGGGTTACCCTCAGGTTGAGATCTGGATTTGCGTGGGTGACCACGTCTCGACATTCTAAAATAAAACAACATGAAAATCAGAATTCAAAACAGATATGGATTAGAAAAACAGTAGATAGAATTAGAATCTAGTATACCCATTCTTATGTCTACCCATTTCTCACAGGTCAAGCTTACTTTATCTACAAGTCAAAACCTATGCTCTGATACCACATTTGTAACATCCCCCGTCCCCGTAGTCCGGAACGGGCGGTATCACTAACGTGACTTAATTCTAAGACACAAACATTGCAGAGCTACTACTAAACTCCAAACGTAGATTAACTTCTAAAACATGCTTTACAATCCAAAATATTACATTCTATCAACTATTTATAAGTTTAGAATATTATACATCTACCAATGAGTTTACCAACTCCAAAAAGTCAAACGCTCGATCTCAAGTCCCGTCCATTTTCAGTATCACTTGGAACCTGCCGTGTCAGAAAACAAGAACACGGCTGAGCACGGGGCTCAGTGAACAGATTGTAATATAAACTTGAAATAATAATACGTAACATCGATAATAAAACGGAAGACTTAAAAATAAATTAAACTGAATTCATAGAAATCAAGACGTTTCACAGTTTTCATTTCAAAACATCATTTAAACACAATCCGTCAATTCCTGTAGTGTTCGTGGGTTGGCCAAACCACACGAACTATCGGGCCGGCGTGCGGGCACACACCCCGAGTCCCCCGTGAATTTAACCACRGTCACATGGTGGGTAATCCTAGGATCGATCCATCCGCCCTGGAGCCAATAAAATCGGCCTAGTCCACAAGGTGGGTTCACGTAAGCCACTATTGGGCCTAACCTTGTGGACCGAGTTCACCAGCAGGACGCCATGACTACAAAGCCGCCATAAAAGGCATCCCAAATAATGTGCCCATTAATTGGGTTGTTATGAAAACCAATAAAACTAAACATGTGCCACTACCCGAATGGCGTTCATAAAAAGTCAACATTCAAAGTACTTCATAAAACTCGAAACTACT